AACTGAAAAACCTCGATATTCCCGCTTCCAATGATGTGCTTAACATCTTGTATCATTCAAAGGTAGGTTAGCAAATTTATTGAAAGAGTCCCTTGAGCGTTCATTATTCTAGACATTAAAAATTTGTTTTATCATACTTTCTTTTTTAGTCTCTTACTTACGTATATCTTTCCGGGGCTATTCAAGGATCAACTCTAAAGGTCGAAAATCGAATGGAAAATCTACTTCGTCTTTCGTTTTTGAAAATCAATGGGAGGTGTGACTTTTCATTTCTCAAGATGTTCCCAAATCTCGAATCTTTGTTGATCGGGGACTTCGCACAAATCGATGATTGTACATTTAGCAACATTGGAGAATCCACAATTACCGAACTGGCATTGGTTAGAACTCAAAACATTACCGACAAAGGATTGATTATTTTATCTTCAATGCCGTCCTTGGTGAAATTCTCTATCAAAGATAGACTTCACGATGTGACTCAGAGTGGATGGTTGTCATTTGCAAAGCGTATAGAGGGATGCCCCTCGTGGGTAGAATTATCGATCGATGATGGTCGCCAAATTAATTCAAAATTCTTCGAGATATTAGATCGGGAACATCCGAAGTTAGAGGCACTTAATGTTAAGGGATTGAACATAAATTTAAATTCCGAGGAAATAATGCAAACCTTGAAATTTAGAAAATCTTCCGAGTATTACAAAGACAAAACGCAATTACACTGGCCGATCAGATACAAACTACCTTCTTATGTTCAAAGAAATGTTTTCAAGAATGATTACTACCACGCTTACACCAACAGTTAGAAATTTGCACCTGTTACAAAAAAATAACAATTGCTCATCTTTGTTATTATCGTTAGCATTTACTTTCTTTTCTTTTTTTCTTTTCCTCTATTTTTAATATTTGGTAACGTTGATATAAGTAATTAATGTCCTCGATCAACACGAATATAGATATTGGGTTCAGGGATCAACTACAGTACTGTATAATGCATGGATTTTGTTACAAAGATCAATTACGTGGCTACTTGTGAAATAGATTCTCGGATACGTACATTCGGTGTAATTGAAACTAGATTAAATCCAATAACGATAATAATTCCGATTTATAATCAGCAAAAGTCAAAACTCATTAATATTGAATTAAACCTCTGCATAAATTGAAATTCATATAATACATACTGTAAAACATTATTATACACAACACTATCGGTTTCAAGATCAATCCCCCCCCAAAAAGAAAGAAAAAAACCATTAAATTACCTGACAAAAATTCGATTTCGATAAATCTTTTTTTTTTTTTTTTAACTAACATATAGCGATATCATAGATTAAAAGAAATCGATGTTTGAGCATTGTCAAACCAATGACTATAAATTTAAGAAATACGCTTGAAAAGAATGCCGACAAAGTCTACTGTAATAAATACTGTTAAGGGGAAGATTAAGAATCGCACGGCTATTAGCGTGGTGTATCTGCCATTCCGCAAATCCCTCATTTCTCTCGAATGTTCCCTCTAAACTCCCCGCGTAAAATATACAGTACATCCCTACTTAAATAAATCGTGCTTGATAAATATGCTTGTAAACTGATACGTATTTCAATGATGTAAAGTAATTCTTATTGCACATGCATGCATCGATCTTTTATTTAAAAAAATGGTTAACAAGAAAAGAGGGATGTAAAAAGGAGGGCGCGGAACATTGTGGGGATAACTGAGGGAAAGAGCAGATTGAAAAAGAAGCGTCGCAATATGGAATACGAAGTTTTCTTTTATCTTTTTATTTTATTTAATTTATTTCCACCTTCAGCCGATTTCTGGTACCAGTAGAATGCTTTCACGCGATCTTTATTAATTCCGTCTTCGTAACAATAACCAAGTTCGTTCTGTCCATAAATATTCCCATCATCGGCCGATTTATAGAATCACTGAAATAATTTCTTGTGATCTTGTGTGATTCCAGTACCGTTTTAATAAAGAATAAATCCGCTACGACTGATTGTCTAATCCAAAGAGTTGAGAGACTCCTTAACTTGGCTAATTTCTGACCTCTTCTCTGAATCTTCTTCCTAGCAATCTAAATAAATTTAAATAATTGTCTAAATGGTTTAAGTTATACGTATATGAGCAGGCCTTCATAAATCTTGACGTATTCCAAAGGAGTTCCTTTGATCACAGTTTCTCTACGACCTATAAAATTTGATGAATTAACACATAATAACCCATAATCATTATCTTCTGGGTGAAAAGGAGAGTACTCGCTTGTGATTTCCCAAAGTAAAATTCCCAAACTATAAATATCCGATTTTTTAGTC